CGAAGGCCTTACGGCCGGTGCCGCCCACCCTGAGTGGCGACGACGACGACGACGACGAGCGCTCTTGGGGGCCTCTTGGGGGTAGTCTTGGGAAGCTCTTAGGGGCCGCTTGGAAGCCTCGTGGGGGCTTCTTGGGGCTTCCTGGGGGTCTCTTGGAGGGAGCCTGGGACGTCTTGGAGGCTTCTTGAACGGTCTTAGGGCTATCTTAAGCGTTTTCGGCCGATCTTTGGGCGACTCGGGGCCCTCTTGGGCCGTCTCGGGGGCCATCTTGGGCATTCGGACCTCATTTGGAGTGTTTTCGAGGTTTCTAGGCCGCCCGAGGAAAAGCCCCCCCACCCCCCCCGGGACCCCCCCCCCTCCACCCCCGCCCGGGACCCCCGCCCCCTTGGGGAAGGAAGGGATCGAAGGGAAGGGGCTTCCCTTCGACTCGAATAACACTGCTAGATTTTTCTCTTGCTCACGAGCTTGAGAAGGAAGCTGCAGGGAAAGGGGACGACGGAGGCGACGACCGACGGAGACGACGACTCGAACAGCCAAGCCCCTCGCACACGCCGACAGGGTCGGCGGATTTTTAATTCTAACAATACAAAGAAGAAGAGGAGAGGAGGAGGAGGAGGAGGAGGAGGAGGAGGAGGAGGAGGAGGAGGAGGAGGAGGAGGAGGCGCACGGGGCCTCTCACATGGGCAGGGCTGGCTGGGCCAGCTCTCGGGACTGTGCCAGGCAGCCGGCTCAGGCTTGTCAGATCGGCCCTCTCCTGATCGCAGTCTCGGCCCTTTCAGGTTCGGTTTCGCCCGCTCTCGACCCCCAGAACCCTCCCAGAGACTATCCTGACCACATATGCCCTCCCCAGACCCCCTCGCGCCGTGAACACGATCTAGGCGGACGTTTCTTGTTGTTGCTGATCTCTGCTTCTGGGGGCCCTCGCCAGGCCCCGGGACCGTCCAGAAACCGAGCCAGGACGAAAGGACCGGTCCCAGGGACTGGGTCGAGACCTTTAGGGGTCGACACCGCAAACGAAATCGTGGCGTCGGGGGTTTGGGTCCCGCACCTCCCTGCGAGCTGCGCCCAGCCGTGGCCGCGGAGTGGACCCCCAGCCCCCCGGGAAGCCCCCATAGGGCAAGCGAGACCTTCCTCCCCAGACCCCCGACGTAATGTTTTTTTCATTACGTCGACCTCCAGAGGTCCCGACCCTTTCCCCATGACCGTCTTTGCATCCTGAGTCGTTTTTTGAAAGTCCCGAGGCCCGGTGAGGGCCCCTGGAGGCCGAAAATTGAGAAAAGCCCCCCGTGATGATTTTTTCATTACTCGAGGGGCTCTGGGTCCCGAGGCGCCCTTCTCGACGGCAGCCGTCGCTGGCGCCCTTGCTCCCGCAGGCGGCGCCCACGCGCGCCCTCCGCGCTTGGCCAGGGCCAGGGCCCTCCTGGGCCCCAGGCTGGGTTGGACGGGGCGGCTAGGATAAGTCGGGCCTGTCCCCCTGCAGTATACTTATCCCAGTGCGACCCTACCTAGGAGTTGCAGCCCCTAGGAAAGCAGCATAAGCTAAGCTAAGCTAAGCTAAGCTAAGCTAAGCTAAGCTAAGCTAAGATAGCTAAGCAAAGCTAAGCCAAGCTAAGCTAAGCTAAGCTGAGATGAGATACGTTGAGCTGAGCTGAGCTAAGCTAAGCTAGGCTAGGCTAGGCTAAGCTAAGCTAAGCTAAGTTAAGCTAAGCTAAACTCAGACAGGCTAAGTTAAGTTAGGCTAAGCTAAGATAAGTTAGGCTAAACTAAGCGAAGCTAAGCTAAGCACAGCTAAGCTAAGTTAAGCTAAGCTAAGCTCGGCCAGGCGAGGGTAAGCTAAGCTAAGCTAAGCTAATATGAGATAAGCAAAGCTAAGCTAATATAAACTGAGCTAAGCTAAGCTAAGGGAAGGGAAGGTAAGGTAAGTTAAGTTAAGCTAGGCTAGGCTAAGCTAAGCTAAGATGAGATAAGCAAAGCTAAACTAAGCTAAGCTAAACTAACCCTCTAGGCAGAGCCTAGGTAGGGAACCCGGGTTGCCGGGGGGAATCGCGGGGCGGATACTGGGGGATCCGCCCGGGGCGCGTTCCACTGCCCGGCCCTTTAAGCCACCGAGTAAGAACCCTTCTAAGCAGAGCCTAGGTAGGGAATAAAACTGAGGTAAGATGAAGCTAAGCTAAGATAAGATGAAATAAGCTAAGCTAAGATGAGATAAGCAACGCGAAGCTAAGGGAACGTCGCTCGGGGAACCGCGGGGCGGATGCCGGGGGAACCGCCCGGGGCGAGCCCCACTGCCCGGCCCTTTAAGCTTAGCTATGCTATGCGAAGCTGCGCTATGCGATGCTATGCTGTGCTATGCTATGCTATGCTATGCTATGCTGCGCTATGCATTATATGCTTGGCTATGATATGTTATGCTACGTTATGCTAATGCAGCGCTGCGCTATGCTACGTTAAACTAAGCTAACCTTAGCTAAGCTAACCCTCTAAGCAGAGCCTAGGTAGGGAATTACACCCATGCTATGGTATGCGATGCTGCGCTATGCCATGCTACGCTATGCTATGCTATGCTGTGCTCTGCTATGCTAGAGCTCAGCGAAGCTAAGATGAAGGTAAGCTAAGTTAATATAAAACTGAGGTAAGATGAAGCTACGCTAAGGTGAGATGAAACAAGCTAGGCTAATATGAGATAAGCAACGCGAAGCTAAGGGAAAGTCACTGGGGGAACCGCGGGGCGGATCCGGGGGGAACCGCCCGGGGCGCTTTCCACTGCCCGGCCTTTTAAGCCTCCGAGTAAGAACCCTTCTAGGCAGAGCCTAGGTCGGGAAATATTTAAAAATAGTAAAAAAATAGCCTGGGGACGTTTTTTTTGACATTTGCCCATTTGAGGGGTATTTTTTTGTATTTTTCATTTTTCGTTCAAAATCCCCCCGTAGGGGGGCACGCCCGACTTCAGGCTAGGACGAGGATCAATCCGCTCTGGAGCGTTCCGGAGCGCCCTCCGAAAGTTCCGGAACGCTCTGCTGAGCGTCCTGGAACGCTCTTTGTGAGGCCGCGGCGCACGAGACGTCCTCCAGATCTGCCAGATCTCAGAGAATCTCGATTCATCCTTGCTCGGTCCTGTCCTCGTCCTGGCGTCGTCTTAACTCAGGAGGGAAAGAAACACACACAGACACAATGAATCGTCGATCCCCCAGAAAACATGGGAAAACATGGGAAGCTGGGGGGGAAGATAAAAACCTAGAAAATATGGGCAATGTGGGGAATCCTGTGATTTGTGTGTACTTTCTCGTGTGTCCCAGGGCCCCTTGGCCTTGGGCCTCCTGGCCTTGGCCTGGAGGGGGCGCGCGGCACCCTGCGGGGGCCCAGGATGGCCCGGGGGCAGCGGCGGGAGCCTCTGGGAGGGAAGTTTTGGAGGCCTCGCGCGGTGTGGAAGAGCTCGGGCCGCCCCAGAGATCCAACGTACTGAAGAAAAATCAAGACGGAGGTCCTTCGCACAGTTCGGCCCCTCTAGGAGCCCTTCGCCGGGGGCTCGGGACCGTCAGAGAACGACTCAGGGTGAAAAACCGGTCCTGGGGAATGGGTCGAGACTTCGGAGGGACCCCGTATTGAAAAATTTTCGACGTCGGATCTCTGGGACTCGGGGCAAGTCGGGCGAGCCCGACGCAAATTGGGTCCCGAGGTGCCGCGCGAGGCCTCCCGGATTTTTCCGCAGAAGAGCCTTCTGCGTATTTGTCGCCCTTGAGATCCGACGTGGCGCAACAGATGCAGCACCGCGAAGAAACATGACCGGAACTCTCGGAGGTGGATAGACCTCCTACCCTGACACGTCGATTAGTGCATTGTCCGTTGTCGGTCCTCGAGAGGGCGCCGCGGCCGTTGTTTCCCAGGCTTGCGCCCGCCAGGTTTGGGCCCGAGGTCGTTTTCACTAATCCACGTTGTACTAAAGGGAGGTCTGCCCATCCCCGAAACTCTCTCTTTTTGGCCTCGCGGTCTATCTGCAATGTGCTAGTCGCTCTTGCACTGGCTCCCCCACCTCTTGGGATGGTGGACTGGTTGTTGAGCCCCCTCCAAACTGAGCGCCAAAAGCTACGGGCAGACAGCACCACACAATTGTTACGACGATTTGTGTGAATTTGCTCTGCGCGCCCTACGTTTCAACTGCACTAAACAACGTTGTCCTGAAGGGAGGTCTGCCCATCCCCGAAACTCTGGACCCGATCTGTCGGCAGCAGCCTCCCAGCCGGCCCGAGCCGTGGCGGCGCCGGGGCCTGAGGCGGGGCGCCGACGCCCAGCGCGAAAGAGTGGCAGCGCCCGGAGATCTCCTACGGCAGCGCCTCCTGCGCGAAACGCTGCGAGGATGGCGAGCCAGCACCTGCAGGCGGAGGAGGAGGAGGAGAAGGAGGAGGATGAGGAGGAGGAGGAGGAGGAGGAGGAGGGAGGGAGGAGGGAGGGAGGGAGGGAGGGAGGGAGGGGAGGGAGGGAGGGAGGGAGGGAGGAGGGGAGGAGGAGGAGGAGGAGGAGGCGGAGGAAGAGGAGGAGGCGGAGGAGGAGGAAGGAGGGAGTAGGAGGAGGAGGGAGGAGGAGGAGGAGGAGAGGAGAGGAGGGAGGGAGGGAGGGGAGGGAGGGAGGAGGGAGGGAGGAGGAGGAGGAGGGAGGAGGAGGAAGAGGAGGAGGCGGAGGTGGAGGAGGAGGAGGGTAGGATGGAGGAGAGAGGAGGAGGAGGAGGAGAGGGAGGGAGGGAGGAGGGAGGAGGGAGGGAGGGAGGGGAGGGAGGGAGGGAGGGAGGGAGGAGGAGGAGGAGGAGGAGGAGGAGGAGGAGAAAGAGGAGGACGGCGGAGGAGGAGGAGGAGGAGGAGGAGGAAGGAGAGGGAGGGAGGGAGGGAGGAGGAGGGGGGGGGAGGGAGGGAGGGAGGCGAGGGAGGGAGGGAGGGAGGAGGAGGAGGAGGAGGAGGAGGAAGAGAGGAGGCGGAGGCGCACGAGGCCTCTCACATGGGCGCCGCTGCGAGGATGGCGAGCCAGTACCTGCAGGCGGAGAGCGCGGAGCTGGCGCGGGCCTTCGAGGAGGCCTGCAGCGCGCTGCCGCCGGCGCCTGCGCGCCAGGTGGCCGCCGCCGCCGTCTTCACCCCGAACTGACGCGTGCGCGCGCGCCGGCGGCCCCCAAAGAGGGGCGCGCTCGGCGCGGGGGGCCTCGCTCGGACGTGTGCATTTTTCCCTCTCGGCGAGGACCCTCGAGGAGCAGCCTTGATCATTTGGGCGAGGACCCTCGAGGAGAAGCCTTGATCCTTTGGCGACAAAGCCACGCACGAAACCGAACAAGAAAACACAAGGAGTGGACGTCCGAGCGATGGCCCAGGGAGGGGGTGGCGGCGCCAGGGATGGATTTTGAGAGCCGGGCGTCGCAGCCGTTTCCTGCCAGGCATCCTCGCCGGGCCCCCGGGGCCCCAGGATCGCACCGGGCACTCTGGCCAGAGGCATGCCGCGGGAAGGAGGGGACTCGGGCTCGGGCTGTGACTCCTCGCGGTGCCGCATCTTTTTTCTCCGCGGCGTCGGGCCTCAAAGGGGATGATTGGGAGCGGGGGGTACCAGTGCTCTCGGCTGCTTCTGGCATCTCTTGCGCCTCTGGAGCCGGCGGTTCAAAGAGGGGGTCTTGTGGGACGTCGGCTGCACGCAAGAGTGATCAGGAGGGGAAAAACACACAGACACAATTAATCGTCGATTCCCGAGAAAATATAGGACAGTATGGGAAGTGGGGGCGAAGACAAAAACCCAGAAAGTATAGGAAAATATTGGGGATAGCCTGTTATTTGTGTGTATTTATTTGTGTGTCCCAGGGCCCCTTCAAGAGTGACCCTTCCCCAGAGTGACCTTTTTGGTGCGGGCCCACTTGGGCCCCCCGATGGCGGAGCGCGATGCGACAGCAGCGGCCTGCACGGTGGGTGGTTGGCCTTCCTGGGCCCCACCTCCCCGAGCGCGCTCCCCTGCTCGCAAGGGTCCCTGCTTGCATCGGGGGCGGCAAAGAGGGGGGTGATGACTAGGGGGGGGTGGAGGGGTGGATATCATGGCGGGGGCCATGATATTTCTCCAGATTTCATGGCGCCCCTTCTTGTTTCGTTACGTCCATGGCCCCCCCGCTGGGCCGCGCACGTGCCGCCGGTCATGATTTGCGCCCCCCCTCTTGGACACCCCCCTCTTGGCCGCTCCCGATTGCAAACGTCCGAAAACACACCTGCTTGCCTCGATGTAGTGGATCGTAGATCCCATCGGGTCCAGGCCACTTGCGAGTAACTAGCTGCTTCGAGAGCAGTGGAACGCGCTAGCCGTGCACCACAGGTCACTCCTGCATGGGGTGGCTCTCGCGTGGGTATAGCCGAGGACGGGGCCCCAGGGACGAGGTGCCCCGGGCAGTGTGGAGCAAACTTCAACCCCCTGCCTAATTACCTTTACTGTGGGGCCCAATCCCAGGCTCCCGACGCCATGATTTTTTCATAGCGTCGACCCCCAGAGGTCTCGAACCATTCCCCGGGAACCGCTGGTCAACCTGAGTCAATGTTGGACGGCCCCAGGGCCGGCAAGGGCTCGCAGAGGCAGAGAACAGCAACAAGAAATGTCGGTGTTGTTCCCCGCATCCTGAGTGGGATTCTCGTTGTCTTTGGACACCCCGCGCACTCATCATCGTCATCATCATCATGCCTCTTCTATTCTCTGTGAGCAAGCTCCTGCTGTCTCCGCAGCTTCTCTGCCCAAGTGCCCCCCGTCGGCCGCGCGTGCGGGCGCCTTATGCAGGCGGTCGCACAAGCGGCTCTCCAGGGCGCTGGGGAGATTTTGTTCAGGGGGCTGCGGGCCGCGCTCTACGAGCGGCTCGTGGCTGCCCCCCTCTCTGTGCTTCAGGACCAGGGGCCTCCAGCTCCTGCCTGGTCCATCCTGCAGGCGGACTCGTCCGAGGGCGAGGGGGCCTCCTGCCCTCTCCCTTCGGCGGGTTCCACCTGCCCCACCGTCTGCCTCGGGCTGGCGGTGGACCTGAGCGGCGGGGTCTCTCCCTGGCTGCTCAGCACGGTCGCCGCCCTCCTCTGGGTGACGGCCGCCTGCAGCGCCTGCGCGGGCTGCTGCCTCGGGCTGCTGGGCCCGTACGTGTGGCGGAGGCTCTGGCCCTTCGCCTGGCCGCGCGGCGCGGTTTCTGCTTCACCTGAGCAGGACCGCCGTGCGGCGCGAGCGCTGGCCTACGGGGCTCCGCCTCGACCTCAAGCGCTCGAGCGGGCAGACGCCCAGCGTGCGGGCGGCGGCGTCCACGGCGGCGCCCACTGATGGCGGAGCTGCCACCAGTTGGCGGAGGGCCCCTTTGGCCCGAGCTCTACCCTTTCACTGCGCCCACGGCGCGCGACTACGCACGATGGCGCCTAGACGACGGCGACACCAGCTGGGCGGCTATCCCCCTCGCCTCTCGAGAAGGGGGCATCCTGCTGGCCCTGCCTGGTGCCTTTCGCTCTACAGCGGAGCTCGAGGCTGCCGAGGCGGATGGCTTTGCTGGGATGATAGGCCCCTTCCAGCTAGTGGACGTCCAGCTCCAGGGGGCCGCTTCACGGCCGCTCGCCACTACCGCATCCGTCCTCGTTATAGATATCGAGGTTGCCGAGCTCGAGCTCGAGTCGCTGTACCCTCTAGAGGTCGGCGACGACGCAGGCATCGTTCCCTTCGCCGAGGTGCGCAGCCGCGTCTATTGGCCGCATCCTTCGGGGGTTCGGGTGCTTCGCGAGGGCTACGCTCGTTTGCACGGCGCCCCGCCTACCGCAGGGGAAGAGCCTCTCCCAGGGGCCGATCGGGCTACCCCCTACCACTCTGCCGACGAGATGGAGGAGCCCGAGGGGTTCGCGGCCGACGGGGAAGCCGACCGCGCGGCCCCAAGTGCGCGAGCCCCCGCGGTCGCTGGAGCGCCGCGCGGCCCGCCCGCCAAGCGCGCTGGCGCCGCCGCGCCGCCACGGGTCGCGGGTCCTGCTCCGATTGCTCCTGGCGCTCCTGCGGCGTCTTTGGACGACGGGGCTCCCATGACCCGCGCCGAGGTAGCTGCCGAAATGCGCGCATTGCTTGCAGCCCACGCGGCCTCCACGATGGTCGGCGGACCCGAACCGCTGGGCCCCGCTCCGGCTGCCCAGAGCGCTCGGCCCGAGGTGCCTCAGCTTTTCAGCGACGAGGCGGCGCGCCTCGGGCTGGATCCTGCGGGGATCGAGGCCGTCTTGTCCCACGCACCCGTGGCCCCTCATCGGGTCTCCGCGCGCCCCAAGGGACCCACCTCCGCGCTGGTCTCGGCGTGGGAGAAGGCGCGCTCTTCTGCTGTCCCTCGGGCCCCTTCGTCCGCTTTCGGACCGATGGGCCCCCCGCCGCCGCCTGGGCTAGCCTATCCCGCTGCGGTCGACGGCTTTGCCGAGGCGGGCGGCGCCGACGGGTTAGAGCCGCCCCTTGCGGCCAATCCGACGGACTTCAGCCTCATGCTTCAGTGCCTGCACCAGTCCCTTTCCTTGCAGCAGGGGCGGGGCCATCGCCCAGCCTTCCACCCGCTTCTGGGGACCCTGAGCGACCAAGCTCAAACTCCGCCCGCGACCTCGGGCGACCCCGCGCACGCATCGGCTCAGATGGGGGGAATCGCTCGGAGGCGCGAGTGGCAGCAAGCGCTGATGCAGCACGGCCCCGACGTGCGAGGACTGATGAGGGAGAATTTGGCCCGCGTTCTGGGCGTGGAAGTCAGCGCCGTGACCCCCATGGCCATGCATCAGTACTTTCGCGAGCACAGCCCCCTCGGGGCTCAGCCGTCGACGCACGAGTTGTTGACGCATTTTGCCTTCCTCAGCGCCGAGCTGTGGCGGGCCTGCGAGGAGGGCAACCCCGAGAGGGTCCAGACCTTGCTGACTTGCCAGTGCATGTTCATCGACCAGTTGGCGGGGGACCGCGGCTACCTCGAGGCCGCTTGGTTCCTCACGGGGCTGGAGCCTCCCCCGTGTCGCGTGACCAGTCGTCACACGGAGCGCGAGGCCCAGGCCCCGTTTTCACCCCTAGTGGATCCTCGCTGGCTGTCGGCGCAGGGCGAATACATGAAGGAGCTGCAAGCATTTCGGGCGCGCCTCGACGCCGAGCGCGCCGTCGCGCTCCCCAAGCATCCACCTCATCAGCCCAAGCAGCCCAAGGTCTCAAAGCCCCCCTTCAAATCTCAGGGTGCTCCCAAGGCCCCGAAGGCGGTGCCCAAGAAGGACTGAAGATGCCCTTGGCGCCCGCCTTCTTGGAGGGGGGGCCTTCGCGTGGCCGAGGTACGCCGCCGCAGACAGTCTGCACCGACGCTGCTATGGCTGCTAGGCGTGTTTGGGCGCAGCGAGGGCGTGAGGGTAGGAATGCGCTCCTCCAGCGATGCTGTTGCGGCCCCGCAGGGAGGAGTACGTTCCGCCACCACGCCCCTCGCTCTGCTCCGAACCGCCCCTCGGATCCATTCGGCCATTTTGGCCGTCACCTGCCTCAGTCGAGCGCTCCCCCCATGGGGCCTGCAGCCCCTGAGGTTGGTGTTCTTGCTGGTGCTTGTTCTCCTTCAAGCACCCCTGCTGCTCTTGCCAACGTCGCGCCATTTGTCGCTGACTTGTCTGCCTTGCTGCGCCTGTTTCCAGGTGCGAACATTGATATCACCCACTGGGCGGCAGCGCTGTCCCAGGTTGGGATGGGTGCTCGATGTTCTCTTGGATCTTTCTCCCGCTCATCTATGCGTGCAATGGACCGGGACGACCCGTACCTTTTGGGGCCGCCTCCCCGCGATCCTTGGCCGTGCCCGCCTGCTCCACCTCTTGGTCCCCCGCCTGACGGCTTGTCGGCGAGGCGCAGGGAGCGCTGGAGATTGCGGCGCGCGGCGCGGACGCTCGCGCAGTATTCTGTTATTGCGTTGAACTGGCTCACTTTGGGTCATCCTAGCCTCGCTCCCGCCGAGGCTCGCGTCCGTGCCACGGTCTCGCCCTGCCAGGAGGGCGTCCGCACCCGTATCGAACGGTTGTGTCGGATCGCAGTTCGCCTCGCCCGTGGTGGCAAGAGCGACTTAGGTCGAGCCTTCGCCAAGTTCGACTCTACTGAGGTCTCGCTCCATGGCCTGGCCACCCATGTTGCAGCTTTGGAGGCCTCCTTCACCTCCTCTTCTTCCGTGCCCGCCCCCATGCGGCACTGCCCGACCAGCGCTCCTTCCGTGCCTGGTTCGCTGGCGTCTGCGGCGGCTTGGGACTCCACCCAGGTCGAGCCCTTCGATTTAAAAGTCAGGGCGTCT